AACAGAGTTGTTGGTCTTAAAGTAAAGTTGATAGGTTTTTGGTTGTTGTGTGTATATTAACTTCTGATAAGACCTCGGTGGTTGATGGTTAGTCATTTAAGTGGGTTAACTTTCGAAACTTCAAACCTTCGCCTTTAAAACCCATAGTCATTCTCTGCTGTACTCTCCACCATCTACCTCTAATCGTATCCCTTTTTCTCTTCTAAAATTTCTTTTAATTCTATTGGTATGGATTCAAGGAATCCATATGGACAGTCTCGTGGTTATACAGGACTCCTTAACAATCAACACGAGGCTGTTTTTCCTCCAAACTTTCTTCACGAAAGTTTTCATGCTAGTGTAAACCTTGGAGCCTCAGAAATCCCCCCTTTCAGCTCTCAACAACCTCACCTGCCAACTCCACCTGTACCAACTCCACCTGTAGTTAGACCAGTTGATCATCGTCGCCAGAAGTGGACGCCTGCTGATGACGAGGTTCTAATTAGTGCCTGGTTGAACACATCTAAGGATGTTGTTGTTGGTAATGAGCAAAATGCACGTACCTTATGGAGGAGAGTTGTGGAATATTACAAAGACAGTCCTCACGCTAGAGACAGAGAGCATCTCCATTGCAAGTAGAGATGGCACAAGATAAACGACTTGACAAACAAGTTCTGTGGCGCTTATGCAGCAGCAGAGAGAAAACTCGGTTCTGGTCAAAACGACACTGATGTCCTCAAGCTCGCTCACGAACTATACTACTCTGACTATGACACAAAGTTCAACCTTGAACATGCCTGGTGTGTGTTGAGGTATGAGCAGAAATGGCTTAGCCTTAATGCACCTAAACCTGCCGGCAGTTCAAAGAGAAAATGTGGTGAATCCGGTTCCCAAGCATCAGTTGGCAATGTTGGTGACACTGAGACGCGTCCTGAAGGTGTGAAGGCGGCTAAAGCTAAAAGGAACAATGGTCAGGGTAGGACTATGGCTGAGTACACTACCATTTGGGAAATGAAGAGGGAGGACTTGGCGCACAAGGAGAAACTGTCAAAGCTATCCATTTTAGACACTCTGTTGGCCAAAAAGGAACCACTTTCGGAGGCTGAAGAAGTGGTGAAGAATACGCTACTTGCTTTGTTATTTTAAGTAGTTTGCATTGTGTTTTTAAATTTTGTTTAAGTTCTGTGTTTTAATTCCTGTTTTCAGTAGTTTGCATTCTGTTTTCTAATTTCTGTTTTAACTTTATGTTCTAATGGATCTATGTACTTCGTATTATTATCAATGAATCAATTTTATGCTACCTGTGTTTTAAATTCTGTATGTACGTAAATTTGTATACTTATTCTTGCTTTAAATTCTGTTTTTAAATTTTATGTTTTTTCTTGCAGGTTAAGTTAAAGATGGGACTTGATTACAGCTACAGCCAGCCGAGTTCCAGTGAGTATGGTTTCAACAGAGTTGACAGTGAGTACAGTGAGACTGCGGATCTTATTCGACAGGACCAAGCTGAGTTAGACAACATCCGGGAAGGTCCAGTTCAGTATCCTCCTCAACCCGAGGTTGAGTTCGGTTTCCCACAAACTTGCTACTGTGGTTCTCGACCTCTACTAGCAACGTCTTACAGTAAAACTGATCCAGGTAGAAAACTTGAGTGCATGCTTGTCTTATTATTATGAATTTGTAACATGTTTTGAGTCGATGCTTGTGTTGTAAATGATCCAGGTAGACGATTCTACACTTGCGCGAATCGTGATGATGGAGAGTGTCACGTATATAAGTGGTGGGACGTGGCCGTTATGGAGGAGATGAGAGAAAGGGATGTTCACACGCTTCAGTTGGCTGAGAAGGTTGATCATCTTACCGGTTTCGGAGAGCTTGGGTCACATTTTAACCAAGCATCGACTGTCACCAATGACACTGACCAGAAACTGGTAAGGCTAGAAGAGATGGTGTCTGAGTTAAGTAAGAAGAGATCTAGTTTTAGCAGTGGCTTTGGTTTCGAATACTTTCTAAGTGGGATCATTGTTGTGCTACTTGTAATATGTATGGTGCTCAGCACACGTTAATGGCTGGTGTGTGTAATGCTTATGTTTCCTTGCTTGTGTGTTTGTTTCATGTAATATGTAATGACTTAGAAAGCTAAACATGTAATGCTCTTGTTTTGTTTCATGTAATACCCAATTTGGCAACATGTAATGATTTCATTTCAGCTTTATTTTTATTGGTAGCAGCACATGTTAAATAAGATGGTTGTTACAAATATGTTGTTGTACCAACTCGGCAGTATAATGTGTGCTCGTGACCAAACAGAAATGTAAAGGACATGCCCGTGATCAGTAGTTGGTAAAGGCACAATTTGAACATGTTGTTCCCGTGACAACTTTTGTGTTCGTGAGCAAATGCTGTTGATTGATCTTAGATTTCAAGACATCTATAAGTATCAAACGTATGTTTATTTCTTTGAAAATCATCTTCTCTACCCATTCTCAAAACATTTTCATCTTCTATCCATTTTAAATGGCTTCTTCTTCTCACTATCATTATCACAACGATAATGGTGATGATGATGAATTTGAATCCGTATTTGAAGATTTTTTCGAAAACCCTGATCTGATTCCAGAACTAAAAGAGCGAAAACCACGCATTTTTATTGACAGAAACTGAGAAGAAGGTCATAACGCACTATGGAATGATTATTTTTCCGAAACTCCTACATACCCTCACAATTTATTCCGTCGACGGTTTCGAATGAATAGATCATTGTTCATGCGTATTGTGCAGCGTCTCTCAACAAAAGTCGAGTATTTTTGACAAACACAAGATGCAGCCGGCCGGCCTCGTCTATCACCGCTTCAAAAATGTACGTAGGCAATTCGTCAGTTGGCTTATGGTGGTGGTGCTGATTCTGTTGACGAATATGTAAGACTTGCCGAAACTACGGCTAGACAATGTCTCCATCAATTTACCGCCGCCATAATCAATTTGTTTGGCGACGAATACCTAAGACGTCCCACAGCGGAGGATCTGGAAAGACTACTCCATATTGGAGAACAACGTGGCTTCCCGGGGATGGTTGGAAGCATTGACTGTATGCATTGGGAGTGGAAGAATTGTCCCACCGCTTGGAAAGGAATGTATTCACGAGGAACAGGAAAACTGACAATTGTGTTGAAGGCGGTAGCTTCATATGACCTCTGGATATGGCACGCATTTTTTGGAGCTCCAGGTACTATGAACGATATTAATGTTCTTGATCGATCACCTGTTTTTGATGACATTATTAACGGATTTGCGCCAGAAGTTAATTTTTATGTCAACGGAACGGAGTACGATTTGGGTTATTATCTCACGGATGGTATTTATCCGAAATGGGCGACCTTTATTCAATCTATCCGACTACCACAAGGTGAGAAAAATTCATTATTTGCTACAACTCAAGAATCGGTGCGAAAAGATGTTGAACGCGCCTTTGGAGTCCTCCAAGCAAGATTTGACAACGGCAAAAGAAAAAATCCATAATATGATAAAGAAAAAATTGCAAATATTATGGGATAAAGAAAAAATTGCAAATATTATGAGAGCAAAAATCCTTCAAAGTTATGGGATAAAGAAAAAATTGCAAATATTATGAGAGCATGTATCATACTCCATAATATGATCGTCGAAGATGAACGAGAGTCATTCACTCAATATGACGTTTTCGAATTTCAACAAGGCTTAGATGTGGATCTTTCATATTCTGTCAATATGCCTTCAAATCTCGGCAATATAATTGTTCGTCGCACCAGAGTTCGGAACAGAGAAGCCCATGAACATTTAAAAAATGATCTGATTGACAACATATGGGCGAAATTTGGACATCTTCAAAATAATATATAGTTAGATGTGTTTGTATTGATTGAAAAAAATATTTAGCTGAGTTTGTATTGTATTTTTACCGTTTTTTTTAATTTTGTAATTTGTTCTCAATTTCAATGTAATATGTTTAATTTCAATGTTCTCAATTTCAATGTAATATATTATGTTTTCAATGTCAATGTAATATGTTTGATTTAAAATTTCTTAAATATGATATTATTTAATAAAATAATTAATTAATTTCTTAAGAGACAACAAAAGTCCTACCAATAATCTACACTTTTACAATTGTCCTTAACTAAGTTTCTTAACTTAACTATAATAATAAACTAACCTAAGGACTAAAGTAAGCTAAGAACCAATAAATCTCTTTTAGGGTTTATAATTTTCCATTAATATATCAATCAAAATCCCTCAAATTTATTCAAGCTTAGAGCAACATTATTGCTGGGACTTATCTTTGAGTGCTTATCTTTTTCTATTATTATTGTTACAGTTAGGGACAATGTTAAGAGACTTTAACCAAAATGCAGATTATTGCTGGGACATTATGTTGTCTCTTAGGTTAATAATTGCTGGAAGCATTCGAGCAGCAGCTACCACGACTGGATGAGCAACTGCCATACTTTCTATTCCTGCAGACCAGTAAATGAAGAGAGCTTTTAGTATATAATTCAACCCATGAAAAAACAGCAGCATCAACTTGTCAAGCAAACCAATTGCATAGTCATCCTAATTTCTTCAGGACTTTAACTCATAAATCATAATAAACCAATTTCGAAGTTCCTAATTCTAAGAAACTACAAATACTGGTTCTCACTTCAGCCTTTTCACAATTCAAGCAAAGTATTTGTTATGTATGGTCCACAATAACAAAACAAAAAAGATTATAGTGAGAAATCAAACAGTCAGTCACAAAAGTTTGGAGAACTAAACAGCCTGCAACAATGAATGTAATCAAACTCCATAATGGTCTACTTAGATCTCAAATCCTAAAAAAGTTTCTCTAAGCTGAAGTACTAGGAGCAAAATTTAATGATAAGAACTCTACCTCCATGGGATCAGAAGCATCTTAACACCAGATGAAGGCTTCCCATCCTTTGTAGCTACGTTGGAATGAACAAGATCAGGAATTATCAAGCCTACAGGAACCTGGCCGAACTTCAAAGCCTGTTCAAGTCTGGCAATAAACTAAGGTACTGGAGCTTTGGAATGGAGGCAAGGGGATCAATTTCAACCAAATTCACAAGCATGTTATTGGTAAGAACCAATGTGTGCAGCTTCGGCAGGAACTCTGCAGACAAACAACCATAAAACAAACACAACACACTTAATCAACGAAGCAAATAATGTATTAGAATTCACATTTGATTAGGATAGTTACCTCTAATATTAGGATTTATCCGGGTGTTCCTATTATTATTAATGATCAAAGTTCCCAAGCGGTTGAGGAGTGGAAAGTTTTCTAGCTTAACTATCTCATTATCAGATAGATTAATCGTATCAAATTGGTCCTGCAAGCACAACAAAACAATACAAGTTAACTAACAAACCTATTAAACGCAACCCAACACAATAAACATAACACTAAGGAGATTCACAACAGCATATCAGAGCGCCTCAAACAAAAAATTTACTTCACACAGGAAGCTTTCGGTGAGACAACGGATCGGTGTCGAGGGAGCGAAATATCTGAGAGGATTATGAAATTGGGATGAAATGGGAGGACGATCTCTGTCGAACTCTTTGGCCGTCGAGAGAGAGAGAGAGTCGGGGGAACATGAATTGATTTTCAGACGGCAAAACGACATTGCCCTACACCACTACCACTTCCACTCCCAATCGCATTCAGCCAGCTGGCACTAAGGACCATCAACAAAACTTCTTAATTAAGGACAAAAGACTTCTGTTTCTTGGTAATTTAAGACTTTTTTATTTAATATTTGGCCCAATATTCCTTAGATATCAGGCTAAGGACGCCGATAATGTTGGTCTTACATATAAAATACTGAACAACTAATAACAAATTACTTTTAACATGTGATATATATAAAGATTGTTCACTATGTCTAAAGCAAATAAAAGTATTTTAACAATTTTGACCCCGCAGCCCCAAATAGGATGCAACTAATATGGCTACTAATTAGTCTCCATCTGTGTCTCGAGAAAAAATTGTTGGACAGCTGATGAGTAGAACAAAGAAAATATGTGTACATGATGGCCCTGGAGGATCCATACCCAATGTGATCACTTCCCACTTGACCTAGTACAATATATAGTTCGTACTATATGTAATCTCTATGAATATTACATCTTCACTAAAAAGGGACTAGTTCTTCTTAATTAGAGCTTTAGTCTCTTTATCTAAACATTTAGCTTTTCTTGAGATTTCCTCCCATGGCTAACTGGCGAAGAGCATGCCCATTAGGTGTTTTTAAGGGGGGGGGGGGGGGTTCACACGTTTTT